CTTCCTTTCACAAGAAGCTTGACCGAATCAGCAGATAGTGGTTTCTACTGATAGCACTTGTATTGTCAGCATAAAGAGGAATAGTAGTAGGAAGCTGAATGCCAAGATCCATAAAGAGAGACTATAACCAAACAATCTCACTGCAAACCGAAGACATGGCCCTATACTCTGCTTCAGTGGAAGACTTGGAGACTGATTGTTGTTTCTTACACTTCCAAGAGATGAGTAAATCACCCATAAAAACACACCACCCAGAAGTGGACCTACGGGTGTCTAGACAACCAACTCAATCCACATCAGCATATGCTCTCAACTAAATAGGAGAGGACGAGGAGAAGAACAGTCCCTGGGAAGTTGTGCTTCTAACATATCGAATGATGCAATGAACAACCGTCATATGAGGCTGACAAGAAGCATAAACAAATTGAGTAACAACCTGAAAAAAATGAGAAATATCAGGCCAAGTCATAGTGAGATAAATGAGGGACCCCACAAGCTGGCGATATAAGGCAGCATCAGGAAGTAATGGACCTTCAAATTTAGATAGCTAAGATTTAGCTCCATAGGTGTATCAACATGCTTTTCATCATTAAGACCAACAAGTTTAACAAGGTCAAAGGCATACCTCTGTTGACAAACAAAATACCCTCGATCACTACGATGTATTTCCAGTCCCAAGAAATATTTGAGAGGGCCCAAGTCCTTCATGTGAAAGGAATTATGAAGTAATAGTTTCAATTCACGAATGCCTTCAACATCATTCCCATTCAACATGTCATCAACATATAGTAGGAGAATGGTAATACCTTGAGGCCGATGCCTAACAAATAAAGAGTGATCAGAAGAAATCTGGCTATATCCAGCAGCAACTACAACATCGCAAAAGCGTTCAAACCATGCCCGGGGAGCTTGTTTTAGACCATATAAAGATTTTTTGAGGCGACATACTAAAGAATGATCACTACAGTATCCAGGAGGAGGCTTCATGTAGACCTTCTCCTTCAACTGACCATGAAGAAAGGCATTCTTCACATCAAGTTGGCATATGGTCCAAGACTGAGCAACAGACACTGCTAAAAGAGCACGGACTGTGGTGACCTTTGCAATAGGAGCAAAGGTTTCTTCATAGTCAATACCATACTCCTAACTATATCCCTGGGCAACTAAGCGTGCCTTGTATCAATCAAGAGATCCATCAAACTTCAGCTTAATGTTGTAAACCCAACAACTCCCAACAATGGATGCATTTGGAGGAGCAGGCACAAGATCCCAAGTGTCATTCTCATGTAAAGCATGAATCTCTACATCCATGGCTTCCTTCCAATGAGGGCTACTATTAACTTCTTGGTAGGAGCAAGGAACATCTATGGAGGATAGGACGGCAGACAAAGAGCTATTGTTTAAAGGAAAACCATAGCGGCCAGGAGGTCTAGATATACGAGTAGAACGACGAAGATGAACAGAAGTATGAAGAGTGTCTAAAGTAGAGGTATCACTTACAAGAAAAGTGGTAGGATGATGATCTAAACCGAGAGGAAGGAGAGTCGTAGGCGTAGGGGCTGGAGCATGTAACCGCTTGCGAGAGAAGACGAGAAAGTCCTTCTCAGCAGAAGGAGATGGAGCATCCTGTGAATCAAAGTTTGGAAAAATAGAAACAGATGGTGCAGACAGTCTAGCAAAAAATGAAATGTGCTCAAGGAAAACAACATTACGTGATATACGAATGCGACAAATAGAGGGATCATAACAAAGAAATCTTTTGTGATCAGGATTGTAACCCACAAAGGCACATATGACAGACTGTGCAAACAATTTAGAACATTCACGAGAAGGAAGATGAACAAAGCACACACATCCAAAAACATGAAGCATAGATAAATCTAGAGAACGACCAAATAACTTCTGAAAGGGAGACATATTACCAAGAACTAAGGAAGGAATATAGTTGATCAAAAACACAGTTATACTAGCTGCCTCTACCCAAAAGTACGAAGAGTCCTCACAACACTAAGAATATGTCCATTCTTGCGCTCGGCCACACCATTCTATTGAGGAGTATCTGGACAACTTCATTGCACTTGTATTCCATGGTCCTTCAAATAGGATAAAAAAACTCCATCAGTGTATTCTCCCCCTAAATCCGAACAAAGAATACACACTTGTGATTGAAACCAAACCCGCACCATAGCATGAAACAACTTAAATGTTGGGAACACAGACTTGTAGCGAATAAAGTATATCCATGTGTACCTGGTACAATCATCAACGAACGACACAAAATATTTGTATCCAAGCCGAGAAGAGACAGAAGCAGTCCAGACATCACTATGTATAAGCTCTCGAAGTGAGAGGTAGTATGCTCAGATATGTGAGGAAATGGTAAGGTACGACTCTTACATAAGCAACAAGAAACACAATATGTATCAAAGGTGTGCAAGGAAGGAACTTTATTCTTAATAAGGCCTAAATCAAACAAAAATTTTAATTTTTCAGAATGTAAATGACCCAAACGTTTATGCCATAAGTCCCAAACATTATTTCTATGACTCAAAAAGGAACTAGAAGTAGAGGAACTGAAATAAACTGATGATGTTGTTTGAGGCTTCTCGAACTCCAATGCAAACAAATGGCCCAACCTGCGCCCCTTCCCTTTCACCTCCCCAGTGTTCCGGTCCTGAATCAAATATTCATCCTGAGAGAAGATGAGAATGTTACCTTCATCAATTAATTGACCAACATAAATCAAGTTTGTAATGAGATTAGGAAGAAGAAGGGTCTTGGTAAGAGGGAAAGATGCAGTGGGTAAAAGCTTAAAGACAGATCACTACTACCAATGATGTTTAACATTTCACCATTGGCAGTAACAATATGTTTGTGATGGGTTTTAGTAAGGTTACTTGGTTGGTTAGGGTAGGCTCCTGTCATGTGGTTGGTAGTTCCAGAGTCAATGATCCAAGTATGAGAAGAAGAAGCACAATAATCAGAAAACTCACCAGGTAAGCTAATAGCAGAAAGAACAGAAGAAATAGTAGAAGTTACCAGCTGTCAAATGTTTTCCTCAACCATAGATGCTAGAAAATCACTTTTAACAAAAGAATCACCACCAGTAATAGATTTCTTACTCCCATGTGCTACAGCAACAGTGTCAATTCCATAAAGCAAGAAAACAGCAGTCCAGGCACAAGGATATTAGGGACAACCAAATTCAGCAATCAAGAACTCAAGATGACAGTCCAAAAAAGGCAAGTTTTAAGACTATCAAGTCTAAAACCCTTCAAATATGAATCTAAAGTCTGAATCAAATAAATGGGAAGCAAGAAAACCCTATGGCGACACCAAATCTAGGGTTATAGGTTGATCGAGTCATCCGATTGAGAGAAAACTGTGATTTACCAACACAATAGGTGTCTTTTTCAAAAATAAGGAGATATCTTGTGCTGATCAAAACAATCCCTACAAATCTCCAAACTAGAAACTGAGTGTAGGATTAAGAAGAGCTTGAGAGGACCCTTCAATCTGGAGAGAAAAACTCAGATCGCAAGCTGATGTAGAAGGCCAGAAGTCCAAAAAAAAGTTACAGTCCAAAATCATGCAAGTTACAAGGCTCTTGCTGCTTTTCACTATGTCCACAATCTGAAATTCCACTGCATGCACCAAATGAAGTGGGCAATCCATCTACTTTACCTTCATCTCCATCTGGTTATCTTTCTCTGGCCCTTCATCATTCAGTGCAAGGTCTTCCACCTTATGCATACAGACCAAATGCCTGAGCTTGTTTCCCTGGTTCAAGGCAGTTCAGTTCTCCACCACACATAAAAGTTGTCCCTGCACTCTGTTTAGGTTGATTAGACTCTTCAGCATACTTGACATTGGAGCATGAAAGCACTTCCATAGCTCTAAGATAATACTTAAAATGCCATAAAACGTCTGACCGGTATGAGGTTATGCTCCCCTCTACTATACTGCACACATAAATCCTTGGAAGAGTCATATCAAGGCTATAGAGGAGAAAATATTGATGACACTCACTCAAACTAAAACATTTCCAAAATACAAGGCAGTAAAATGGCAATATTAACAATGATAACTGTAAAGTATAAGGAAATATCATTTAGCTTCAAATAACATCTTAAATGCTCTACAGAAAATCTGTGCCAGAACTGACATACAAATACAAAGATAGTAGCAAGATTCATAACTGATGAGTAGGTAACCTAAATGGGTCAAACTGCTAAATTGGCACACAATATGCGCTTTTAAGTTAATTCAAGAGTACCAGTACTCAACTGTATGCCTTAGCTGCAAGGAAAATTTTGAAGGAGAAATACATGAGCTTTCTTCCGATTCCTAGACCAATTTCATAATTTTTGGATGATAAATTTTTGAGATTTTTTAATTTATTTTCTAGTTTTTTGGTGTCTTAGGAATAGAGTTGAAGTTTGGTCTTCTACAAATTTACTATTAATAAAACTAAAATTACTATATGGTAACTTTTAGACTGTCTGTTAGGTGCTGCCTAACTCAGGGTTCATAGAGTGAACCAAGCTCGTGAAGGAAGAGGAAACTGAAGGGAAACAGGGAGAGGGGAAGAAAAGGGGATTCAGAGGGAGAGAGAGAGAGAGAGATTTGTTCGGATGGAATTCCTGCCTCTTTGTTTCTTCTTCGGGTTTTTATATAGACAGGTAAGTTGTTTACAGTTGCAGTCTGTTACAAGATGGTTACAGCTTGTTGTAGGACTGTTATTCTGTTCTAACAGTCAGCCACTTGGACTACATTCTTGCTGACGTGGCTTCTCCCTTTTCTTGTAAACTTGGTATGCAGGCTGGCTATTCCTGTGCACAGGCCTTGGTTTGCCGCAGCTCTTGGTCTTATCAATACCCCCCTGGTTAAGCTGGACCTTGCCCTCAAGGTCAATATGGGGGAACTGGTGTTGCAGTTGTAGATAGGATTCCCATGTTGCATCCTCTTCCGGTAGTTATGACCACACAACTAAGGCTTCTGGAACAATGTGGGAACCTTTCTTGACCCATCTGAAATTAGTGATACACACTGGATCTGTTTCTAGGTTCATATCACTTGAGAATTTTGGAAGATGTGGTTGAGTTATAGCCTCTGGTTTCAAGCATTTTTTGAGAACTGAGACATGGAAGACTGGGTGCACTCTTGAACCGGGTGGGAGATCCAATCTGTATGCAAGAGGTCCAATTTTCTCCAAGATCTTGTCCAAAGTAGCGAGGTGTCAGTTTGTTCCATCTCTGTTTTTGTACAGAAAGCAACTTGTAGGGAAGCAATTTCAAGTAAACCATATCCCAACTTGATAGTGTGCTTCCCTATGGTGTTTATCATATGATTGTTTCATCCATTGTTGGGACCGGAGTAGGTTCTGTTTAAGTCCTTATAGAACGTTGTCTCGATTTAGCAGGTGTTCTTCTAGTGAAGCTACTGCTGTGGAGCCCCTTTCATAGGGAATCAGTGTGGGTGGATCACAAATTCACAACCATATAATGCCCTAAAAGGGGTCATCCCAGCCGATATTTGATAAGTAGTGTTGTACCACCATTCAGCCCAATGCATCCAGCTGAACCATTGTCTCGGCTTTGTTCCGGTGAAACATCGTAGATATGTTTCTAAGCAACGATTGACCACCTCCGTTTGCCCATCTAACTGTGGATGGTTGCTTGTGAATTTGCTGAGCTGTACACCTTGGAGGCGAAAAGGTTCTTTCCAAAAGAGGCTGATGAAGACCGGATCTCTGTCAGAAACAATAGACTTTGGGAACCCACGGAGCCGAGCTATTTCCCGCACAAAAGTGTTAGCTACTGTAACTGCAGTAAATGGATGTGACAGTGCTAAGAAGTGGCTGTATTTTGTAAGGTGATCAACCACCACTAATATGACTGCTTTACCGGCAGAGGTCGGTAGGCCTGTTATAAAATCCATAGAGATATCTTCCAAAACTTGGTTGGGTATGGGTAATGGTTTTAGCAGGCCCAGCTGGGGATTGGGCCTCATACTTCCAAAACTTGCATTGTTAACATACCAGGCCTCCTGAGTGTCCACCCATCGGTGTCGCATGGAAGTAATTTATGAGTTGGTCCAAAAGTGCTGAGTCCGCTGGTAACACCATTCTACCTTTATAGTACAGCACTRACCCTTGGATAGAATACCCCGGTTTGTCCCCTGTTTGCTGCAACAACTGTGTCTTTATTGCTTGGAGTTCCTTATCACTGTCGGCTGCCTCCCTTAATTGGTCCCATAGTGCTGTCGTGGGTTGTTGGAACACCTACAATTGGAGTATGCTCTCCACTCCATGTTTGGGTTGACGTGACAGTGCATCCGCAACCCTATTTGTTGCTCCCGGTTTGTATTCAATAGTGTAATCAAAGCCCATTAACTTTGAGACCAACCGCTGCTGATCTGGAGAAAGGACCCGTTGTTCCAATAGGAATTTCAGACTTTGGTGATCAGTCTTAATTATAAACTTACGGCCTAGCAGGTAGGAGCGCCAATGCTGAACTGCTAATACAACTGCCATCAATTCCCGGTTGTAGACTGAAAAGTGGTTTTGTGTGGTGGATGATACCTTACTGAAGAAGGAAAGGGGCTGACCATCTTGCATCAACACTGCTCTCACGCCCAGTCCCGATGCATCACACTCAACCACAAATGGTTTGTTGAAATCCAGTAAGACTAGAGCTGGTGGGGATGACACCGCTGCTCTTAAGGCTTCAAATGCTACTTGGGCTTTGTTGTCCCAACTGAAGGAGTCCTTCTTTAGAAGGGCTGTCAGTGGTGCTGCAATTATCCCATAGCTTTTAATGAAGCGTCGGTAGTACCTTGTGAGTCCTAGGAATGCTTGGAGTTCCTTGATGTTACGTGGCGTTGACCACTGTTGGACGGCAGCTATCTTGTCTGGATCTGCTGAGACCCTTCCGTCTTCCACCACATGGCCCAAATAGTGTACACGGCCCTGCCCAAAGGCGCACTTCGATTCTTTGGCATACAGTTGATTTTGTAACAGAATGTCTAGGGTGATCTGCAAATCCACTAAATGTTGGGCCCATGTGGGGCTGTACACCAAAATGTCATCAAAAAAGACTAATATGAAATGACGTAAATGTGGCCTGAACAAGTCGTTCATTAAGGCTTGGAAGGTAGTCGGGGCATTTGTGAGGCCAAATGGCATAACCCAGAACTCATAGTGGCCATCATGAGTCCGGAAGGCCATTTTTTGAATGTCACTTTCATGGACTCTAATCTGATGGTATCCAGCCCATAAATCCAACTTTGAAAAAATTCTTACAGTCTTGAGTTCATCCAGTAGTTCATCTATTATTGGAATTGGAAAGCGGTCCTTAACCGTAATATTATTAAGTGTTATGGGCTTGGGCGTAGGATCTCGTCACGGGTCGGTCCACGGGGAGAACCTCTTGCTTTCCCTTGCACCTTCCCTTGCGTGCAGACCCTATTGTGGAAAACCGAATGGGTGATTTGTCCAAGAGACCACTCGAACTCTCCAAATGGGTGATTTGTCCAAGAGACCACCCGAACTCTCCTCACTCTTCTCTTGACTCGAAAACTGAATGCCTTTATTTCAACTCATAGCTCCTTAAATAGGAGATTACAAAAGGGGTTTCCTTGCTGGATTCGGCTAGGCTAGGGTAATCCAACTTAAACTCAAACTCCTAATTACCTACTCCTAAAGGTAACACAACTCTTACTTAAGATAAGATAAGATAAGGATAAGGATAAGGGATGAGGAATGGTGTAGCTGGCGGCGAGTTGGCGGGCAGAGCTGATGAGGTAAGATAAGTGTGGACCCACCCTGATGAGCTGTCATGTGGGCCCCGCCCTACTGCTGCTGTCAGGCGGTGCGCGCGTCTCGCAGTGCTGCTGCCGTGAGGTGCGTGCTGCTGTCTAGTGCTGCTGCCGTGAGGTGCGTGCTGCTGTCTAGTGCTGCTGCCGTTCGATGCGTGCTGCTGCTGTGCGGTGCGTGCTGCGCGCTGCTGGCCGGTGCGTGCTGCATGCTGCCAGGCGGTGCATGCTGCCTGCTGCCGGGCGGTGCGTGCTGCTGTGCGGCGCTGCCGGGCGGTGCCTGCTGCTGTGCGGCCTGCTGTGCATGCTGCTGCCTATGACTGCGCTGCCGGGCGGTGTGTCCATAACATTAAGTGCCCTATAATCCACACAAAATCGCCACATCCCATCTTTCTTTTTGACAAGAAGAACAAGTGAAGAAAATGGGTTGTGGCTGGGTTGAATAAAATTTTTATCCAACAGTTCTTGAACCTGCCTTTCAATTTCTTGTTTTTGAAAATAAGGGTAACGGTAGGGCCTTACATTGGTAGGAGGCGCATCCGGCAATAGTGGGATTCTATCGTCATGATTCCTTGTTGGATGTAGGTCCGTTGGCTCCTTGAAAACTGCAGCATATTGCTGGAGGATGTTGCAGAGCTGCTGTTTGTATTCAGCTTGAGTTGTTGTATCCTGGGCCTGAGATAGCGTTGGGCCTGTATGATTTGATCCCCAGATGATGAGCTGATTCGGGTCTCGTGCTTCTTTCAACATGGATGCCAAGCTTACTGGGCTGGCTCGGCTAGCTGAGTGGCCTTGCAAATGTATTCTTGTCCCTTCTATCATGAAATCCATAGACAAACGGGCCCAGTCGCATAGAACAGGCCCAAGTTGCTGCAACCATTGAATTCCCAATACAATGTCGGCCCCACTTAACTCCAGTGGATACAGATCAACCCGAAATTGTTGATCTTGGATGCATAACCCAATGTCTGTGCAAATTCCATCGCATTGGAGTGAGGTCCCATTTGCCACATGGACCTTAAATGAGGTTGTGGGCTGAACTGGCAATCCTAATCGTCTGACTAGCACAGTGGTTACAAAGTTTAGAGTGCTACCACTGTCGATTAGGATAGACACCTGGCGACCCCGAACTAAACCCGTCACCCTC